GGGCTTTTTCCTATAGTAGAGGGACCAAAAAAGGTATTTAACCAACTATATAATAAAAATATAGTTCAAAATTTATTAAAATATTTTTAATAAAACTATTTCTATATTATTTCATTAATTGACATTTAATTTCATTGGTTGTGGAGTGCAATTTGAAAAATATAAATGCTTAATGTCACCACAAATCCCAAAACTTAGCAAAAAGAGTCATTGTCATCCCTTCCTAAAAGATAATCCCATAACTTCGAAGAAAAAGCCAACCATCATCCTTCCATTCCTTGTCAATGCCGTCCATATCTTGTTAGATCTTCTGTTAACTTAAAATTTCGATTCAACCTGGCAACAATGGATTCCAAAAAAGTAGAATAATCCCGAAAGTGGCTTAGAGTGTCGACACTACGATATAGGTCTCGACCCTTCTGTTCCATTGTCACCAACATGTGTTTTCCAAAGTTCTAACACCTTATCCTCCAAATAAGACTCTGGAAAACAATCTGGTTGAAATCCAGCCAAAGAAAACAAAGGAAGACAAATAAAGACCCCAATAGAAGTTCCTTCTTCAAACACTAATGCAGTTGAAGATAAAGGAACTGTTCACTCAAGTGTTTTAACAATTGCAACCGAAGCAAATGCTCATTCAGAATATGTTCAATCCATTGTTCTTTTAGAGAATAGCTAATCAAAGAAAAAAAGAGGAAGGCCAAAGAAAAACGAAATGAAGTGGGCCGGTTTGTTAATTTCTCATATTTAATAAGATTGTTTGATATACTTGAACTTGCTGACTTGTAGGAAGGAAGTGCCAAGAAAGCTAAGTTCATAGGTTTAGGAGTTTACACTAAACCTGAAATTGGCTTCTCAAGTTACAATGTAAGGCTTTGTTCGGGAATGCTTTCTTAGTGCTTTAGTTTTTGATTTTATTTTTTTTTACTATTATAAAAATATATAAATTGTTAATTAAAATAAATATTAAATATATTTTATATATTTTTCAAATATTAAAAAACTAAAAAATCTACAACTACAACTACAACATAAGCCTCCCAAACCAAACCTAAGTATTTTTTAAAATATATATATAATGTTTGGGTATTATCTTTCCTAAATACTTTAGGCTTAATATATAGTTATTACCTTTCTATTATTTTATATGATTAGCTTGGTTTAAAGGGAAATCAAATTATGTTATTTGGCTATAAAGCACCTAAGGTGCCCAATGTGCCAAAACCAGATAAGGTGCCAATGGTGCTAAACCAAAATGCAGTGCAGCAACTAAAAGAAAATGTGGTGTGCATGTACAACCACTAGCACCATTTGTAGTTAGTGTTCCAAGCACAACCATCAAATCATAGTTTGCACTAATGGTCCTTCAGATCAAGATGTACAAAAAACTATTACTCTTAAATGATTAGAGGCAATTTTTTTGTTAGAGATTAATTTTTGTCAAATATTTTATACAAATATGTAACTAGCTACTTTCTTCTATATCATGCTCAAAGGAATGAGAGACAATGGTAAGTGCAATGTGAGGGCAACATTAGCATGAAAGAAATGGATGCCATAGAGAGAGGATCATGGGGAGAGTTGATTGAAAATCTCCATAAAAACCATATGTAAAACAAAAAAGATAAAGCAAGCAAATGAATTATGGATATCTTCCTCATATTTTGTTTTTATAGTGACTTGATACTTCAAATACTAATCCTTTGAGATTTTCAAATTACTTTTTGTAGTTGTATTAAGTAAACGAAACTTCTAGTGGCTATATTTGAATCCTTATGAATTAGATACATTGGTTTGTGAAAACAGCCTATTTAATATCTTGCATAATTTCTTTTAATAGTCACTTCTTTATATTCAAATATATTGATAATTTTAGCTTCTTGCATTCTTAAATATAACTTATGTATTGGAATTCTAGCCAACGCTACAAAATACATTCTTAAATATGAATTAGTTACATGATGAGATAGATTTTATCTAATTTAATTTTAGTTTTTAAGCATTTTATATGCTTAAATTTGAACTTACAAGATCGAGGTGTTCTTTATATAGAAGCTAGAGGAAAAGATGTGCTATTTTAACATTGATAAATTGCAAAAAGATCCAAAAAACCAAACATGGGTTGAGTGTCGACACCATATTGGTAGATGTTGAGACTTTGCATTATAACTTTGGAAAACATGTCTTGGTGAAGTGGTAGGCAGAATGGTCAATGTCTACAGTGGTATTGACACTCTAAGCAGTTTTTAAGAATATTGTGTTTTATCAGGACCCAATATTGTCACATTAGACAAAAAATTTTAAGGTAATAAAGCATTTAATGGGAGATGGACGACATCGACGGGGAGATGGACGGTGTTATAACTTCCATCAATGGAAGGATGGTGCTTGGCCTCTTCTCCAGTGTTAGAGGGATTATCATGAATTCTTTCTAGGTAGAGGGATTGATAATGACTCCTTTTGCAAAGTTTAGGGATTTCTTTTTGATATTGAGTCATAAAATTCATTATTTATGCTCGAATTAGAATGAAGAGTCAAAAAATGATAAATGTACAATCTGGTTTTTACAACAAAACTTATATAGTTATAATAACACATAAAATTATAAAATTATAATGATGTATATAATAACGTGATATTAAACAAGTAAATACATATAATATCATACAAGACCCTCAAGTAAAAACAATCAATCATATAATGACATATTATAATTGTAAACTTACATTATAATGTGGTATTTATAACTATATTATTTTTGTTTTTATGATTTGACATGATATTTTATGATTTGCGTGTTTTATTTAAGTAACCCATAGTAAATTAGTATGTATCTACTGATTAATGTTATTTTTTATTGTGTAAAATACTCATGAAAGAAAACATTATACTTGTATTATTACCGAACTTATCTCTAAAATGTGTTATTGATAATGATGGGACCAAGGAGATTATGGCTTTATTTTTGTTATAGTGTGTTTGGTTTGTTGTGTTATAGTGTAGGATTTATTTATTTTTTTTTTGTCTTAGACTATTCAAAAAATATATTTTGTATAAAATATTAATAAAAATTAATAAAAATACGTAAAAAACTAATTAAAAATTTAAATTTTATATTTTTATATAAAATGTTGCATAAAAAAAGTCTATAAGAAAACATTATTAAATGAATCCTTATATAAAAGATTGTAATGAGAGTATGCTTATCTCAATATAAGATGTTTCTTTTTGAAGACCATCTAGGCTTGAGAAAATAGTCTCCTTCAAGTCTCTAATTAACTAGCAAGTACCAATGACCTATTAGTTTCAGTGGAAAGAGCTCGGTTCCCTTTACGTAAGATTTCAAGTTCAAGCCTTATGAATGGAGAAACAGACATTGGGAGAGCTTCCCTTTAATGGGGTCCAACGCAGCTTGACTCTAGATTAGTGGAGGCCCAATAGAACTTCTGGACACTAAGAGTTGGTACCAAAAAAATTAACTAGCAAGTTATAGTTTATGATTTGTAAATTATATATCGTCATTCTTCAATAAATTTAATTAGGAAAATAATTGGTACATATCTCAGTTTAACACATTATATAACTTATTTATTAAAAAATTATTTTTTTAATATGAAATTAAAGACAGACAAAATAAGGATGCAATTTTACATATACGATGCAAGAATTAGTTGAATTGATTGTATTTATATTATATTTTAATAATTAAACCAAATAAGTGTCGAAAGTGTGTTAAACCAAAAACCGTACCAATCATTTTTCATTCAATTATGACCAAGCAAGATTGAGCATAACCTATACATGATACGGTAATACATAGAAGCTGAACATTTGGTGTAAGATTGTAGTGATGGTTTATATTCTATAAAAGCAGCATGACTTTTTAACACCTAAAGATTGTACTCTTGATAGATGGTGTATGATAATTTGGTATAAGTATGCATCCTCTAAATTAAGTATATTTAGGTGGAAATTATTCCTGAATGGGTTAGCCACGAAAGAGAATCTATGTAAAAGGGGAGTCATTCCGCCAGATGGAGATGTTGGTTGTGGACTACGTAATAGGGAGTGGAGGAACTTAATGATTTATTTTGTGGGTGTTAAATGACGTGGTTAGTGTGGATGAAAGTCTTGGAGTGGTCGGGGTCTTAGGGGGGGTTCTGCCATATGATGTTTTTGGGCTAGCAGAGTGTGTGTTGGATGGCATAGGTGGGGGACGTGTGTAGGATTTAGGGGCTCTTATATTTTTGGTTGTTGTTTGGTTTCTATGGTGTTGGAGAAATTCAAAAGTATTTGGAACTAGCATGATTTCTGATGAGTTATTGTTGGATTCTATATAGGTGCAAAGTCTTTTCTATGGCTTAAAATTAAAGAACCAAGTTCTATTTTCTTATCAAGACTAAACATCAAAGTTTATGGAGTGTATAGAAGTTATTGTTTAATATCAAAGATGTTTGGAGAGTTACATACTGCTAAAGAAAGAGATAGATAGATTTTTAATTTTTGGTCTTATTGAATGAATTTTTCTAGTTAATTTACTTGTAAAGTCACTGCTCTAAAACTTTGTTAATGACTGTATACTTTTATGATGGAGTATTTCTTATACCCCTTTATAATATATTGGGTTTTGTGGGTAAGAAAAAAAATAGAAGCAGAACATTTTATCTAAGCTGTTAATTAGTGATGGTTCCAAGGTGCCTTTAAACAAAAAAAAAAAGAAAAGAAAAAAAAGTAATGGTTCCAAGGTCTCATATATACCACCAAGTTACCTTGATCCTAATTCTTTGATTTTTTGCTCCCAATGAGTCTCAAATGATTAGGAATTATTATAAGTTAGAAAATTTATATTTAAATTTCTCAAGGTGTAATTGAAGAGAGATTAAAGAGATTATCAGAATGGGGGGCGGGTTATATGACATCCTAGTTTTTTGATTAATTCTAATGATACGTGAATTATTAAAAAAAATCAATATTTATTTTCATTGATGAAAATGCATGAAAATGAGAAATAATATAGGAGAAAACTAGATAATTTTGACTTTATTTCAATGTGCTTTCAATAAATCTTTTTCACACAACACTTTAATTAAAAATATAAATTTATTAATTTTAATTTTTTAACTTATTTTTTATACATTTTTTTTAATTTTAATTAATATTTTATATATTTTTAAAATAAAAAAATCAATAACTACAATACAAATACAGTACTGATACGAAACCTAAAGTGTTCGTGGACTAAACATCATATATATAATTATTGTGTGCAACAAATATCTAGCTTTTGAGTCAGTGGCTTGCAGCACCATACTTTTTTTTTTTTTTGGCAATCAAATACTCACAAACATGAAAATGAAATATTACTGAAATAATTACTATATAGCAGAAATTGTTGTGATATTCTGTCAGGATTTTGATATCTTATATATATAAATATGAAATAAAATCCTCTAAAATAAGAATATTAAAAAATCAAGATTTGCAGCTAGGTAGATCAGTTGTGCATCATATAATGCCATCTCTTTCAGTAATTTTCCTTTCATCCTATAAATGCTAAGCATATAATTATGAAGCATCCTGGAAGCTGCAAGAACCCATGTGAAATTCTGGAAGCTATTTTGGGGTGCTGAACTTGGACCTAAAACCGCCTTCTATTCTTGGTTAATTATCTTCTCATATTCAATTTGTTTAAATTGCAAATTAAGGGCTTATAAGTCAATAATTTTAATCAAATTACAGAGAGAAAGAATCAAAGCGCTAGCAATTGGCAAATGCTAAATGGGAAATGATCATGCAGTCATGCAGACCAATATTAATTGTATGGTCCAAACCCTAGTTTTATCCATTTTTGGATTACCTAATGTGAATTGTCTAGCCAGAGTTTTGCTACCAAAAATAACATCAAATTAATACTCATCATATATTGCTCACAAAAGAAGATTGAAAAACAAAAACCTTATTTTCATAATTTTAACTTGAAAAATCAAATACGTAAAATACAAAAGATATATATATATATATATATATATGGCATTGAGTCCAGTATTGATTTGGTCTTTTTGTATATAAATGAATACAACCAAATATTAGGGTTTATTCTCGTAGAATCGTTCATTCATTAATTTCTTGCATAATTACCATCTCTCATAGTCAAAAGGTAAAAGTAATACAAAGACAACTAGCTGTAATTAGGTCTCTTTTTTACGAGACAAGGCAATGATCCATGGATTTAATACACTCATGTTCATATCTCTTCAGTTACTTTATCTAAAAGTGATGAATTTTTTTATCAACTTGCTGTACTGAATTATCATGCCTAGCTATGAAACTACAACAAGAAGAAATTAAGTCTTTCCATGGATTGTTACCTTTTGTCGTTTCCCATTAGGGTTTCTGAGTCTTTGGGCGGACCACAACTCATTTTGGGACGACCTTGTATTTCCCACCATTGATGAAACTTTACTTGTTTAGAAATGTGTTCAGGTTTCCTTGGCAGAAAGACTGAAGACAACAGGGGGTGGTTAAGGGTCACACCCGTCCTTTTGTCTATGTTTCCGAATAGGACAACCTAGGATCACTCATTCCCATTTAATTACAGATCGTGCCACTCCTTTTAATGATCCCATGGTCCGCCGTACCACCAAAGTTTCATGTACCTGTTCAGTCTCCAGCAGCACCCCTTCGCCTGGCTAGCTAGCTACATGAACTGCATGGGTTGGATAATTTATCATGATTTGACTATGCAAAAGAGTTACTTCTTTAAATTTTGTAACACCAATTGGATCAAATTAGGACAAGTTATTCATGTTAGGATAGTTATTTTTTATGAGAAGTATTTTTAGATAGAAAATGTTATTTTACAGTTTAAACTATTTTAGATTATAAAATAAAATTCTTTAGATTAGAAATAACTTCAATATCAAAAGTTTTATAAAAAAGTTAATGTTTTATAGTTTAAAATAGTTCGAACTGTAAAATACTTTTTCATTTTAAATAATTCAAAATGTATAAGTTTTTATGTATAAGTTTTATATAAGAGTAATTTTCTTATATAAGGAGCCTACCTAGTCCAACAAATACAAAAAATTTTTGTGAGAAGTTACTTGGTGACTTCCTTAATATTCATTCTTGATTAATTACATGGTGGCTTGGTGAGTCTGAACTAAACAAATTTTCTTATTAATTAAGTCACTTTTTAAATTAAGATACATCATCTTTAACTTTTAGAAATTTGTGAGATATTATTTTATGACTTTTCAGAATCGAACTTTGATCATCATAGTATGATAAACAAACCCACTTAATAACAGACATGCATGTGATTCGGTTTAGTTTGTAGTTTTGCTCAAAGAGATGGAGGTTAAATTGGTAAAAGGAAAGGAAAGGAAACGTCAGGAATTAGAATAAATTTGAATGCTCTCTTCATACACGCTTCACCCCAAAAGAAAAAAACCTCTCCAGTTTTACGAGCAAAAGAGAAAATAGGGTAAGCATTTCCTTCTTTCTTCAGTCTCTGTCTCTCTCCTCTTCCCCATTTTTATGAACACCCCAATCTTCATATATATCATCAGTAAGTTCTTATTTTAGGTTTTGCAGTTCAAGATTAAACTTAGTTTCTATCTTTATACAATTTTTAAGCCCCAAAAGCTCCTTTATGCCATTTCTGTGTTTTTTAGAGCTAATTTTTTCATCTTTTCCCTAACTGGAGAAGGATAAGTAGAAATGGGACGTGGAAAGATACCGATCAGGAGGATTGAGAACCAGACTACTAGGCAGGTCACCTTCTCCAAGCGCCGAGCCGGGCTTTTGAAGAAGACACATGAACTATCCGTGCTCTGCGATGCTCAGATCGGTCTCATCATCTTCTCCAGCACCGGAAAGTTGTGCCAGTACTGCACCGAGCCCTACAGGTTTACCTCAGCTTTCTTGCAAAACTAGTTAGGGTTTCCATTTTCCATGTCACACGTTTCTTACCTTTCTGTTTTGTTTTGTTTTGTTTTTCCCTTTTTCTTTTCTTTTATAATTTGAAGGGTTTAGATTTGGCCTTCTGTTAAGCAGATCTGAAAGTTCTACACAAGAAATATATGTTCTTCTCTTTTTAAATATAGTAAATATCAAAGATATTTGATTATTTCGTAAAATACGTATAGATTAAGTTTTCTCGAAAAGGTTTCTTTAATTTCGTTTTAATTTTCATTTTCTTCTACATAAATTTCGATAATTTATGGAGTGTATGTACTTTTAAGGCTAAATTTCTTCTCTTTTTCTCGATTTTCTCTTTTAAAAATAACGTTTTAATAATGTCACAGAATGGAACAAATTATAGAGAGGTATCAGAGGGTCACAGGAACTCGTATCCCCGAGGATGATAGCCGGGTAAAGATTAATGCATCAAATATATAATTCTATCAATTTTCTCTACTATAGCTAAAATCTAATTTTTTTACCTCTCTTTTTTTTTTTTTTTTAATTTTCAGGAGCAACTGCACAATGAATTGGCAATGTTGAGGAAGGAAACTCGTCGTCTTCAACTGAGCATGCGCCGCTACACTGGCGAGGACATGACATCTATCCCCATTGGAGAACTGGACCAGCTTGAGCAAGAACTCGAGTGTTCTGTCAACAAGGTCAGAGACCGAAAGGTATGTATTCGTTCATCATCTTTTCTTGATTAGTTAATTAATTAATTAATCTCTTCTGTGTTCTTTATTCTTCTTTTTCCTTCTAATTAATTTTTCCTCTATCCATTTTCATATTTTCTAAACAAAGTTTATGGTATAACTGGAATGTCAAAGTTTCTTTAGTTATTTTGTTAACTGGTGAATTGCAGAACGAGCTATTGCAACAACAACTGGATAATTTGCGTAGGAAGGTAATTATCTTATTGTGTGTATGACTTTATATAGAAAACACATGATCTATATGAATCGAATTTTTTAAGTCTCTTTCTTCTAATGCTTAGGAGCGCATACTCGAGGAAGAGAATGGCAACATGTATCGTTGGGTAAGTGGCTTATATGTTAATTATTATAACATTCTGGATGAGTAACAAAATTATTTAGGTTGATTGATATTATGGTTTTGCTGTGGTTGAAATGAATATCTATAGGTTCAGGAACACCGTGCAGCATTGGAGTATCAACAGGGAGCGTTAGAAGCAAAGCCGGTGGAGCATCAGCAACTTCTGGATCAATTCCAATTCTATGGTGAACCCAGCAGTGTTCTCCAGCTTGCCCCCATTCCTCAACAGTTTCACTCATATCAACTCCAGCTTGCTCAGCCCAACCTTCAAGATTCAAGCATCTAGCGCCGCAACTGAGGTATTTACGTCTGCCTGTTATTTCTTAACAATCATTATCATTGTGAGCGTCTGTTACTCATTGATATCATAATGTGCCAAGCAATATAAGATTATATAAATGAGAACATATGTCGTTCAATCTGAACATCCTCTTAATAAATTTTTCCACAAAATTTTGCAGAGTGATCAAGCATTGTGATTGAGAACGGTTGCTTTAAGTCTCATGGTGAAGTACTCTAGAATAATTGTGTGTTTCTGATTTGGCATTTCCCTTAAGTTTATATATTTACTGAAGGATGAATTAATCAATTGTGTTTGACTATGTTTGCAATTCTTGGATTAAATTAAATATCAAGATTAGTGTTATGATTTTGATGTGACTATTTATGACCAAAATAAGCAGAATCTCTTGATTATAAATATTATTGAACAGAACAGAAAACAAATCAGACATCTCTCATATCATAAAAATAATATTCTTGATTATCATTGTCAACATCATATTTCATTTGGCATACAACGAAATTTAACATCATATAGATCAGTTCTGACCTGGGGTGTGTTTTATCGTGAGCTATGAATCTATGGAGTGCCCCCGACATCTCCAGCAAACTAAACCCAGCAGTCTTCTTCAGCCCTCTCCTCTCCATGGCTTCCCTCATTGTTCTTGCCTCATCCCATCGCTTAACAATAGCATAAACATTTGATAATCCAATATACCTACCATCATGATCTGGCTGTAACTCAACTAGCTTCCTTCCTACTATTTCAGCAAGATCTAACTTGCCATGGTTTATGCATCCATTTAGTAAAGCACCCAGCATGGACGCAGTTGGTTCCATGGGCATTTGGCACAGAAATTGATACGCCTCTGCTACCTGACCTGCCCGTGCCAGGACATCCACCAAGCAAGCACAGTGCTCACTTTTAGGCACCATGCCATTTTTACCAAGACAGTCAAAGAAATACCAAGCTTTCTTTACCAAGCCACCATGAGCACAAGCACTCAACAAGCACAAGTAGGTGATCTCATCTGGGGCAATCCCAATTCTTTGCATTTCTAAAAATAATTCGAGTGATTCCTTAACCAATCCGTGAGTTGCAAGCCCTCCAATTATGGCATTCCAAAGCAAGACATCAGTTTGATGAATTGGAACCCCAAAAAAGATGGCAAGGGCCTCCTCTATTGCCCCACATTTGGCATACATGTCCACCAGAGATGTTCGGAGTGCTAAAGTCATTGGCAATCTATTGTCCATCATGTAACCATGCATCATCCTCCCTTGATCAAGCGCACCCAAATGGGCACAAGCACACAGCAGACTCACCATAGTCACTTCATTGGCCTTACAACCAGAATCCTGCATTTCCTCAAACACTGTCATTGCCTCCAGATAGCCCCTGCTCTTAACATACCCATCAATCAAGGAGCTCCACGAAACAACATCCCTCTGCGGCATTAAATCAAACACTTCCCGTGCCAAAGTTAAATCACCGCACTTCGCATAACCATCCACCATCGCATTCCACGAAACCAAGTTCTTCATTAGAATTCCATCAAACACCTTACGGGCATACACTATATCACCACAAGAAGCGTACATATGAACAAATGAATTCCCTATAAACCTATCCGACTCATACCCAGTTTTCACTACCTGGGCATGCACCGCGCCACCAAGTTCCAACTTCAAAAGGCGCGCAGACGCCTTAGCAAGAAAAGGGTATGTCAAATGATCGGGAGAGACCCCAGCTCTGCACATCTGAACAAAAACAGAGATGGACTCATCTGGGCTCCTGCTTTTGGAGTAACCTCTAATGACGGTATTCCAATGAGATATTATAGCGTTACGTAGCGATGAAAAAACCCGGAACGCATAATCGATGCTACCGGCATCAGAGATTGCAGAGAAAGAAAGGATCCTTGATATAACTGGGTCGTCGTTAGAGAGGCCAAAAGTGATTGCCAAGGCGTGAAGCTGCTTCAGGTCGGACATTGATTTGCATTTTTCAAGAAGGTGGATTAGACTGGTGGTTTTGCAAAAGAACGGTACATTCCACATCTATGGCTGCAGCCCGCCGGCAATAAGATCAGCATGCTCTTGCCGGCCGGACAGTCTGGGTCAGGAGGGAAAACAAAGTTTCGGACAGATTAAGTAAGAGGAGAAAAATGTGCGAATAAGGATATGAATTTTATATTTTTTTATTTAAAAATGTTAATTTTATGTATTTTCGGATAAAGATATTAATCTTTAATTTTTTTATTTAAAAATATTAATTGTTATTTTTTTAATTTAAAAATATTAATTGTTATTTTTTTAATTTAAAAATATTAATTTTTAATTTTTTTATTTAAAAATTAATTGAATAGTGATATTATTGTAATAAATAAATTTTTTAATTAAATATTAAAAATTAATATTTTTAAATAAAAAATTAAAAATTTATATCATTGAAAAAAAATAAAAATTAATATTTTTGTTTAAAAATGGATAAATTTAACGTGTTTAAATAAAAAAAATATAAAATTGATAATTTTATTTACATTTTTTCTTTTAAGTCAGAGAGTTGAGGGGGCCATCAATTGGGCCCATATGGAGTAACAGCTAACAATACTTAAGAGGGAGGTAAGGCCGGTCCATTTTGTTTTTCTCATTTTTTTAAACATATTATTTTCCCTTTTATTTTCTCTGTCTCAAAATTATTGTAATATAAATTAAGAATTTAAAGATAATTTTTATATTTATTTATATTATTCTTTAAGCAAGACGTAAAAATTAAAAGAATATTATTATGAGAGATTGGATAATTAAAATTAAGAAATAAAAGCTAAAAGTAAAAAAAAATTATTTATTTTTCCTAAAAAGTACAAAAATAACAATTGGTTGCCTCAAGTTAGGGTTGAATTAGGCTCTCCCTACGGATTCTCTCTTCCTGTAGCAAACTGTAGCAAAGAGGAAGGATCCTACTCTATGAAAGATATGGAAAAGATTTGGAAAGGGTTTCGTCTAGCCCTATACCAAGCAAGAAAAAGGAAATGAAGGGGAAAATGATCATTTTTTTTCTCTCAAAAAAACAATCAAAATGATCTATATTCACATTAAAAAAATGTAAAGATATTAGAAGGGATTTTTTAAGAGAAACACTCTAACAAACTATTATTTTCATATATATTTAATTATTTTTTTATTTTTAAACTGATAATTACGTTATTATAACACACCTAACACTATCACAATTTTATCTAAAGTTTTAAAATTAATTTAAAAGATAGAAGTCTGAATTTAATCTCTTATGCAACACCCCCAAAGAGAAAGCCACACCTCTTCCTCCATAAAAAACAAACCCAATCCATCCTTCAAGTTCTATCACAAAAACATTTAGCCATGACCTCTTCTTGAATCCTTCTGCATCCTTGAAACCCTAGCTTCCAATGCCACAAGCTACCCAACATAGACTCCCACTATGTCCTAAATTCCACAATACCATGGACCTTGAAGAATCCTTTCCTCTCTTCCATCGATATAAGCATGGTCTATAATTCATTAGCCATGGTCCCCTTTCTACAACACACTATCAACCCCTTCGACCACAACTACCTACACCTATCACCTTCACAAACCACCACTAACAACCACGCAGCCACAACTAACAACAACCAATTGCGACCCTAACCTCCTTTACCACAACCTAGATAGTAAACCCAAAGGACCAAACCCTCAATTAAAGAACTTCGCCGTCCCAAGTCCTGTAGCAAACCCAATCCCTACCTCTACCTATAGTTGCTGACAGCAATTAACAAACTAATGTGCCACCGTCTTCTATCTCCACAACTTGTGCCTTCCATAGTCAATCTTGTTGGTTCTCAAACCCTCACCAATCATTGGGTAAAGCCAAGAAGAATAGAGGATGAGAAATCCTGGTAAAACCCCTACGCAATCAGTACAGAGGACTAATTCCTACGACCTCGAACTCTAAGTGCTGGAGAGGTCTCATAATTGATTCAATTATTAATATAACTATATTTTTAAAAAAAGTAATAATTAATTTAGGATAAAGTGTAAGTTATAAACACCAATTATACCACTAATTTTATATCTTTTAATAATTTGATCTAACTCTAATAATCAAGATTATCAAGAATAATACTTCTTTTATTCATTTTTAATAGATTTAGTTTAATTTTTTTTACTTTTTATAAATGAGTTGTAAGTAAAAGTTTAATAATTTATATAAATAGAATTAAAAAGTTTTTTCTTCTTAGATAAAGTTTTTGTTGACTACTTTTATTTGATTAAAAAACTTTTAATTATCATTTATATAATATGTTAAATTTTTATTTAAAATTTATATCAAAAAATTAAAAAATTAAAAAATTAAATTAAATATATTAAAAATGACCGAATTAAGTAGCAGTAATAATAATAATAATAATAATAATAATAATAATAATAATAATAATAATAATAATAAGTGTTAACAACATAAAAGGCGGTAATTATTGCCATGCTAACTCGAACGTGTCCGCCTTAGTTTTGGGGCTTCATCCCTCGCGTAGTACAATTTCATCCTACTGCCATGTAGGTTGCATCCTCTAAGAGACGGTAATCGCAGTGAATTTTAGAGGTGTAGTATGGATCATATTTGGGTTGCACAGTCGATTTGTTAGGTTCGAATTTGTAATTTCTTCATTGGTTGTATATTTTTATATTAATTGTTATTAAAAAATAAAAATTAATATTTATTTAATTAATTATCTAATTAAAATAATATATGTAATATTAGTGATAAAATTAATGCTAATTTTTGTTATTTTTAATATCAAATATTGATAAACCATTAAAGAGTGATTCAACTTATTAAAAATATGAGATTTTAAATTAGAGATTTCATATTCCAACCTTGAGTGTTAAATGAAGATGAATTTGGGAACAATTGAACAAAGAAATATATATATATATTTTTTTGTAGAACCTATCATTAAATATGTCAAAAAAAATCAAATAATGATAAAAAAATTTATATTCTTTTCATCCTAGAATAATAGATATTTTTTTTATTTAGTATTTGTTTTAAAATGATAGTTCTTTATGCATATTATGAGGGACACAAATATTTTTTAACTATCTAACCTTACATTTTATCTTTTAATTTTGATTATCTATCCTGTTATACAAAAATCTTTTTATTTTTATTTTTTTAAAGATAAAATAAATAAAAATAAAATTATCCTCAAATTTTTTATTTTAAAATAAAAGTAAAATAAATATTAATTATTTTGATATAGGGAGTACTGATTACACCTTACACATTAAAAAAAATCATTTTCATTTTACTCTTTTAGGTCTAATTTACTTTTCTCACTTTATTTATTCTAATTATCAAAAAAATATTTATTTATCACCATAATCAAGAGTTACCGTACAATTAAACCAAAGACTGTCTCAGTAAGTTTCAAACTCATTTTTATCTCTTTCGTAATAAAAAAATAAAATTAAGACATTAGGATTTATTTTTTTTCGTTCAACTTTATTAAATAATTAATTTTATTAAATTTAATTTTTTTATTAAAATAAAATATAATAATTAATTAATATAATTTTATATTTATTTTTAATTAATTAATATTTAAATAAATATTTTTATTAGGGCATATATGGAATTATATTTTTAAAATTAGAGTAAAATAAAAATAAGTGCATTAAATCATATTACAAAAATAAAATGTGAATAATTAAATTTAAATTTAAATACTTCAAATTAGAGGTTAGGTTTATTAAAGTTGAATCAACAAGGTAATGTTTTTATAGTACTGATGCCTTAATATTCAAAAGTCACATTAAACTTGATTAATATAAAGTCAAATTGTATCAAGTCTTATAAACAGGAAACTCTTTCAGTATCTATTTATTCATTTACAAAACTTAAACTCGAGACTTATTTAAGGAGAATTTAAATTTATTTTATTTAGACCAATAATTCATTAGTAATAAAGTAATATCTTAGTAAAATAAAAAAATGAGTCAATTTTTTTAATTAGAAAATATTGACTCAATTAAATCAAACTACTCCTATTTAAAAAGAGGCGGTGGGACAATTAAATCAAACAAATGGAATATTTGCAAGCGTAGTAATTTTGTTTTTGTTTTTTTTCAAATTTTATACTAGGGATCGAGGAAAATTAAATTCTTTTTTGTAATTGAAATATTAACATTGATAATGGAAAAAATTAAAATATCCTTATTAGAAAAAAATGAGTCAATTAAATCAAACTACTCCTATTTAAAAAGAGGCTTGTGGGACAATTAAATCAAACCAATGGAATATTTGCAAGTTTAGTAATTTTGTTTTTTTTTTTTCAAATTTTATAATTGGGATCGAGGAAAATTAAATTATTTTTTGTAATTGAAATATTAACATTGATAATGAAAAAAATTAAAATATTCTTAATAAATTAGTACAATTAAGATTTATTGATAGTATATTTTGTTTAAAAGAAATAAATGGAAAAAAAAGGAGAAAGATGACTTTTTTAATCAATTATATGGTATTATAATGTTTTTAAATATTACAATCTAATTAATTAAAATATTCATCTCTCCCTCCCCTCCTCTTCATTTTCTTTAAATTAAAGATACCTAAAATATTTAAATATATAATTTAACAAAAAAAATTCCTAAAATTAAAATATCAACACCGCTAATTTTCACTTTTTCTATCCATAATAAGCATAGGTTGGGCAGTTGGAGTGAATTTTCTTTTGTCAAGCTTTTTCCAACTCTACTTTTAAGGTCTTACTGGATGCATAACCTCTGACTCATAGAGTCATAGGTATACTTTTTCTTCTGCTAGTGCCGGATGTGGTTCATTATAATCTACGTTTTTGGAGCCTCAATCCTCGATTTGAGTCATCACCATCCCAGGAGTGGGGTGAAATTTATAACAAAATCACATTCCATCATGCATTTCACAAGGATAATAGATTTAACGGTTACACTGATAATATTTAGGTTAAACTGTTAATTTAGTCCCTCAACTTTTAAATTTATACTAAAATTGTCTCTCAACTTTGAAAAGTACAAAAACTATCCCTAAACTTTAATTTTTGACACCGAAATAATCCTCAAACTTTAAAAACAGTACCAACTTAGTCCTTAAACTTTGATTATAAATAACAATTTAGTTTTTCAATTTTAATTATATATTAATTTAATATATAAATAAAAATATATTATGATGATAAAATATAACTATTTGATTTTATTGGTCAATAGTAATTAAAAAAAGAATTAATTTAATGCAAAATAATATGTTACATAGCATTTTTGTCAACATAAAGATTATTTTGATATTGAAAATTAAAGTTCACGAACAATTTCAATATTTTTGAAGTTGAGATAATTTTGGTACAAATCCAAAAGTTGAGGGACTAAATGAGTATTTAAACCTAATATGAAGTAATAATAAAATAATAGTAAAACCATATCCTCAATACATATTTTATTGAACAGTGAATCCTAAATGAAATACAATATTTTTCTATATATGATATGTACCATATTAATAATAAAATTGATACGAAGATTAGTATTGTATTAACAACCTTCCTCAAGCCCTTCAACATGGGAGCAGTCTCCACCATTTATAACATCTTATAAACAGTTTTATTAGAAAAAAAAATGTACCAAAAAAAATTAAAAAAAAAAAAAAAAGGAGAAGAAGACAACTCTAACCTAATTCACTAAATAGAATCCAAAAAATCAAAATTTCGTAAAATTAACATGTTCTATCACAATCATCTATTAAATAAATTCTAATCAAAAACTCACTTCAGGAGTTCACTTAATGAATGACTATAATAAACGTCATAATGTCATAATTTTCATTTTTTTGTTTCCCAAAAACTGAAATTATAAAAATTTTATTTTTCCCAAATTGCTGATTTTAACCAAACCGAAAACCATGATTTGGCGGATCAATTCTAAATTTTCAAATGGCCAAAAAATATTCTAAAATTTTCCAAATTTACTCACCCTTTAAACAAGAAGGAATCAAATAATACTAACAAGAGTTCCATCACCCACTAGCTTAAATACTTTAATTTAAAGTCAAGATCAAAAGTTTAAATATCTATATTACCTAATAACTAACTTTTTGATATACCAAAAAAAAATACGAGGAATCAAATAATTAGACATTTTAAAAATTAATAAAATTATCAATTCCAAAGCTTAATATCGAATGATGGCCAAACAAAAGAAAAGAAAAAGAAAAAAGGGAGCATAAAATCAAAACCTCTAGTCTAGAAGCCACAAGTTTGTACTTTAGCTTTCCAAGTCTAACACTTTAAAGCGGACTAAACTTAAAATTTTAAACATTCGAGATATTGAAAGTTACCATAGAGTTGGGTAGTTTACCCTAAAGAACTATCATTCTTAAGGTCACACGCTAGACAACAAACAAACTTAAAAATGGGTATATATTATTTAAGTCAATAATGTAGAATCAACAGAGACAAACGCATACATATAAGAAGCTTCCCCGCAAGGAAGAACCAGTCTGCAAACTTTAGAAGCAGCTTCTTTATGGTTTACTGAACAAGCAGACCAAAATTTACTTGCTGGGCACCGAAGTGGAGACCTCAGTGTTACAAAGAGGACACACCTGCAGTTAAATCAGCGAAGCATCATTAGATAGACATTCTATAACAACAAGCATACCTCCCAAAACCTCCTGATAACATATTAAATCAAAGAATGATATGAACAGATCTCTAGCATAAGAATTATATAAAATTTGCAAGAACTAATATGATGAGCTCAGTAATAGTTTCAGTCATTTGGGCAGTTAAAGGATACTGTGTAGTTCAAGACGACTAAAAGTAACAAGAGTATATTACATAAAAAATCAGATAATGAAGTTTAAACTAGCCCGAATCTGTTTGACTAACTTCTGGAGTTGGACTACATGCAAATTTCCTAGACAAAGGATAGGGATGGCATTCCATGACTATCACAAATGTGTAAGTAGGCTAAGTGGTTTATATTTTACCATATTGTTGGTGTACATATAAATGCAATATGATAAAATGTTCAAGAGAAAGTAAAAAGTTTCAAACAGATAAAAGCATAAAAACTTGCACAGGAAAGCATGCAAATGCATACAGACACACACACAATATGGGGTCGGAGTTGCAAAACTCAGAAGGAATAAGGTCTGAAAGGGAACAAAACACCAAGGCTGTTCCTCTGGAAAGCATCAAGTGGAGTGAATTCTTACATGAAAAATGATCGCAACAAATAACTATAAGCATACCTTGTTTCTTTTCAACCAATTATTTATGCACTCAAGATGATAGGAATGGTTGCAAGCAAGCATTGTCAAGGTGTCACCATCCTCATAATCTAGACGACAAATAACACAACTGAAAAAACAAGCAGACAAATTATACTCTGAATTGAAACACAATGTAGACAAAATACAGCAGAATTTGCACTTACGAATCATTGCTCCCATTTTGACTGGTTCCCGCCTTGTAGTTTACTGAAGGCAATGAGGCAATTGTATCAGCTGAAAGGCCTCTGCTCTCAGTTCCAACAACTTCACCCAATGCAAGTAGTTCCTGAAAGAATAAAACCATGCTTTAATGCAAAAAAGTTCAAAGCATGAGCATCACTGGAAGCAGTAGCATCTCGGGTCCATCTAACCTCATATGAAAGATCATCTGGGTCAACATCCTCCCAGGTATCCTGCAAATTCATATTACCAAAAGAATGGGCATGAGCAAGATCCAAAACCAGGTAATGGACATTTAAATTGAAATGCTATAAAGGAAAACTCTCTAAGCTGGTCATGCAAACTCTAATCTGCCGAAACATGAGTGATTTAACTTTTATCTATTCAACTTGATGTTTCAAATTCAAACAAACATAAGAGAAAAAAACAAAATCAGAAAAAGTGGAGAGCAGAGAAGATCACTGCAACTCTGTAAGCTCTGGACCTAGTACAACATAATCGTTTCTTCTTTTGTGATGGGTAACACAACAAATATTGTGGACCATTATCACAACCGCTGCTACAGATTCATCATAATACCCCAGCAGAAACATTCACAATGCCAATTATAAGAAAAAAAGGGTACAGTTACAGTTCTACACTTTAAAGAAGACATTTATGCTTTATAAATAATGTAGCAAATTGATTATCATAATAAACAAGCAAAACATTCACAATCCCAACTCCCGGCCACAAGAAGAATATGGTTAACTTAATGAAACTTAAAATGGGACGACTACACTTCTAGTAGTCAGTACAAGCCACTAATGGTGCTGCATTGCCATTATCATGAATTGAAAGTGTTCCTACTAGTATTTAAGATTGAACCACCAAGGTGACACTGATCTAGGAAGGCTGATTATTCCTTTATTTTTACCCTCTTATATAACCATTCTAAAAAAAATTGCCAATCATAATTTGCATGACATCAACAAAGAGCAACAAACAGATCCACACAAATGTACAAACACAAACCAGGATAATAAATTGAGGAATCATAGACAACACCATACTGCTACAAACCATAGACTTCTTTGATTGAAACAAGTACATGTCTAGACGTAAATATAAGAACTTATGCAGGCATGGAAAAAGATGAGGACTTTAAATAGAATAAATTATTACCACATGAGAGTTATCACCATGATACTCTATGTCCACTATTCCTCCTGCAATTGCCACAAAATATTAGACCCTCTACTAGTCACATAAAAATTTCAAGTAGTTTGATGTCAAATATTTTTCAAGCCATGATGGTTATCAACACTCACGGTCATTTATCCCAGCTAAAGCAAATAATCTGGCTGCCATTTCTCTTTCTTCTGCATCCTGTATGGCTCTTGCATATGCCTCATCACTAGAGAAAACAGCAGGGTCATACTCAACACTGGGATTGTTGCCCTCTCCTGCTTCATCATGAGCATGGATATCAAACGCATCTCCTTCATCATCCACATCAGTACCATCGTCATCCTCACCCTCATTTTCATCTGCATCTGTGTCAACGTTGGGATCCCCAAAATCGTCTTCTTCATCATGCAAATAGCTTCCAGTCTCCCAACTTCCATAATCACTGCCTTCAGCGTTCATCCTGAGCATCACATATGCCCTTTCCTACATCAATTAGATTCTTTGGTCACGAAACAACACAGAATAGAATGTACCATACATTACACACAAACGCTCACACATTCACCTACACAAAAACTCTAAAAAAGTCACAAAACAAAGAAAGGCATAGAAAATGGAAGACAAGTAATTAGCTCTCAAGCTAGACTATCCTCCCACCGAGCTTTGAGTTGCTGATAAATTGTTAAAAGTTTCATAATTGATTCAACCATTTTCAAGCAAGAAATCCAAAAACAAAAAGGAGTAAACCTATACCTGCTCCTGGAGAGTTCGAGCAAGAGCAAGGTCAGCATCGACCTGACCTAGATTAGTAAAAGGAGTCCGCGAGGAGGGTTGACGCGGAGCCTCTTCCTCCTGTTCATGCTCCTGTCCCTCTTCATCATGATCATCATCTTCTTCTTCTTCCTCACTTTCAATAATCAAATGATTGTCGTCACAGTTAACATTAGGGTTCCCTTCTTGTTCGTTCGTCGGTTTGGCTGCACCTTCTTCCACCCCTGATTTCCCATTTCTGTTGCTGTTGTTGTTCTCCATGAAATTCCGATCGATTTCCGATTCCTAGCAACAAAATTGAAGCGGTTGTTGATCGGATTATGACGGAGGCGATCGGTTAGGGTTGATTGAATCAAGAATGGTTCAAGAAACTAATATAAGAAATGGGTAATAGCGACAAAATTACTGGCTTAAAAAGCAAGGGAACTGGAAAAAGGATTTTTTTTTTTTTTTTGTTGAAAAAATTTGAATAATATTTGTTTAGATGGACAAAATGAGTAAAGTAAATGGAAGAATTATTGTTATATTATTTTTTTTATATGTGCAAAATTATTTTTTAAGATTAATATTTATGAGTTATTTATTAAAATGTAGACTGAAGAATATTAAAAATTACTCTTTGTCTTAAAATAATTTTTTTTAATTTTTTCTAAATTAAAGATTTAAAAATAATTTATGTGTTTATTTTTATTGTTCTTAAAAATCAGAGATATACTTTTGGTGATATACTCTATATATTCAACTTTAGTAGCCTTAGATTTTTTTTGTTTAATAAAATAAAAATGTAATAATTTATTATTAAAATTTTATATTTATCCATAATTTAGTAGTACCACTTAA